TCCTTCCAATCGCAAATTCCATCCAGCCCATAAGCTTAAGCTAAGCTTGGCTGCGCATTTTAATCTCCCCGGCTTCTGACGCCTCGTGGGTCCGCAGATCGATTCTTCCTGTCCATCAAGTGTTTCACCGCGGTCACGTGCGGTATAGCGTAGGTCCTTTTCAATTCAGTTGCGGCGTCCTTTGTTCGTATTGCTTGCGAGTAGGCTGTGCTGCGCGCCTCGGTCGAGTTCGATATAGAACGCGTTCGTTCCCCCATATAAGCCGGAGCTTCCCCTTCTAATCCTCTTTATGTCGTCCCCCAACTTGTACCGCTCCGGGTTATTGCCCCCTCTCAGTTCTCAGATGGTTCCCCCATCCTCAGAGCCGGGTCGTCTGTTCGTCCGTTTCGCCTCTATGTCCCTCGTCGAGTTTCCTGCTTCCTGGCCCATCGCGCAAGGGCGAGACCCGTCGTACCGGGAGTCGTTCGAGCCCCTGCGCCTGTTGGAGGACTTGCCCCCGTCTCAAGCCGTCGACTATTCCTCCAAGCTACTCCCTCTGCTGGCCCCCGTAGTCCGTTCACATCGAGCTCCCGCTCTCCCAGTTCCCCCCGCAGCGCCCCCGCGGCCGTCGTCTTCCCGCCGTTCGCCCCGACCAGCGACCCGAACCATTCTTCGTTCCCCGTCCAACAGTCGGGTCTGGCCGATTTGGCCGACCTCCCCGCTCGTCAGGTCATCCGCCTCCCCGTGCATGGGATCGACCTGTCGCGTGTTTTTATCCGAACTCACTTCACGCGTCGTCCTCGTCTCCACTATTCTCGTGCCCCCCGCTTCTCTCGTGGGTACTTTCGGGATCCTGCATACCGATTTTCCCGTCTGCATCGCCCTCCCCTCGTCCGTCCTCCCAGTACCAGCCTCTGGGATTGGCTACAGGCGTCGTTTGACGCAGCCATGGCGGCTGCCCTCTGGCGCCCGTCCGTGTTCGGTCCTCGGGACCGTTTCTTCGGCGTTCTGTTCGATGCTTACGACTCGTCTTGCCATTGGAACTACCCGGGTAGCGGGTCTGGCGGTCCTTCCGACCTGCGCGAGTACTTGGGCGGCCTCGCTCGTCAGCTTGTCGTTGCCTTGGCGCCGTGTGAGGAGGACGGGGCGGACCGAGAGGCGTTCGAGGATCTGTGGCCCATCCTCGTGCGTGTAATCGGCCGCCGCTCTCCTTTTGTGTTCACTAAATCCTTCGGCAGCGCGAGGTCATTCGTTTTATTCTCTCGTTGTCTTTGGCGGGCCTCCCCGTCTTCTTGTCCCGCGGCCTCTGGAATCTGGCCCTCGACTGCGTGGGTCGCGTTTTTCCTCCATCGCCCCGCGCCGGTCCCGATCCACTCCTTCATTATTTGCAACAGCCCCGCCCCTTGCTCGTTCCTCACTACTTCGCTTGGGACCCGGTACTGGAGTTCGGGGTGCGATTCTGGGAAGGTCCCGATCCTCGCGATGCGGCGACGTTTGTGGGCGCCCGTAATCTTCAAGAGGCGGAACTGGGGACTACTTTCTCTTTCCTAGGTGTGGCGGAGCGTTGGGCGGAGTGGTTGGATCCTGGCACGGAGCCTTCCCCGCCTCTGGTCATTCGTCGGGACGTTCCCGAAATGGTTTTCCCGGATCCGTCAGTCGTTGAGGAGTTGGAGTCTGTGGTTGGTGCCGGACTACTGCCACCCGGGCCGGGGGTGATCCGACATCGGGCCCCGGTCGGTTTGCCGGAGGACGGCGTCTGGGCCCCGACCCTCTCCTTCCGTCCCCGTCCCTTGCCCCTGGCGCCCGACGTCATTATGCTCGACGTCGATGACTCCGACGATGTGTCGATGGGACCTTCGCGCGCCTCCTCGCCGGGTTTGGAAGTGTTGCCCGGCCCCCCTCCTCCGATCCGCGCCGCATCAGTGATCGAGATCTCGGACGACGACCCCCCGCCTATCCCCGTGATCCCCCGTCGCCACGCCGCCCCCCGCACCTCCCCGTCGAACCGGGTATCGCGGCTAACCGTGGAAGACACCGACGGTTACGTGCCCTCAGCCCCGGCCTTGAGTCGTACGGGCGCGACAGAGCGTTTCCCGGGTGAACCGTTGCGCCGCCTCGGCGAAGTGGTTCGGACCATTACGCCCGCGTTGCTCTTTTTGCGCGCAGATGGGGCGACTTTGCACCGTCTGGGGCCAACCCGGCCCCGCGTCCAAACTCCCGGCCAACGTTCGGGCGTGCTTTGCGACTGGTGCAGTCTCTCGCACCGTCGTTGCAATTCGTGGGGCCCGTTTGCGGCCGCTTACGAGGCCAAGGACTTGCGCGAGTCTCCGTGGCGGTTCGAATTCTGGGAGTGCACCGACGAGGAGGGCGTGTACGCTCTATTGGAGATGGATTCGCGGTTCGCGGACCTTCAAGCGGTGTCGGAGAATTTCCTCTACCGGCGCTTCTGCTTCCGTTTTCTGCCCCGTTCGAATACCTTGCGGGCGCAACATCGGCGTCGTTCGGAGGACAAGGGGCACTCTTCTCGTCCCAACGTTCTGAACCGGCACGCGGGCCGTCAACCGTCTCCGCGACGCCCCCGGGCTCGGTCGCGGGGTCCCCGGACTGGGCCGTCGCGTCGGCGCTCCCGCTCTCCTCCTCCTCGACGATCGGCCTCTCCGGTTCGTCGGCCAGCGCCCCCTCCCGCGCGATCTCCCCGCCCCCCTCGTTCCGCACCTGTCACCCCCGATCCGTCCTCCACCCACCGGGCCCGGGGGACGCGGGCCGTCCCGGCTGGAACCAGCTCCGGCCGTGCGGGCCCCTCGGTGATGGGGGATATGTCTTTCCGCCCGGAGGGTTACCCGGACGTGACGCTTTGGTTCGGCGAGCCGTCGCCGACTCGGGCCACCGCCGAGGCGCACCGGTTGTTGGATGATCCGGATGTGGCCCAATCGTGCCGATTTTCCGCCGTGGGGGTGACGCTCCTGCACCAGTTGCTGACCCGGCCCCAGGACAACCCTCTGTCCACCGGTGTCTTGCGTTCACTCCGGTCCGAAACTTCGCATGTTGATGCAGCCGGCCGACTTCGAGCTGATGGATTACCTGGGGCATCGGTTCTCTGCGGCTCAAATGGTGGAGTTGTACACTCGGGTGCGGGGCGTTTTTGGGGCCGTCGACGACTCGGGGTCGACTCGGCTGGATTTGTGGGAGCAACGGGCCGCCGCGGACCATCGCCAGGCCGGTCGCTCGAGCCCCGTTCCTGGGGGTACTCGGCCTGGGTCGGGGTCGCGACGTTCACCTCCCACTGGTCCTTCGTCGGGTCCTTCGTCGGGTCGAAAGGGAAAAGGCCGGGCGTAGTCGGGGGGTTTTTTTGTATTTTATTATTTTTGTACTTTTGTTTTTTGGACTTTTGCAATGCACCGTGTCGCCTTCTCGTGTGTTCTGTTGTGCGGGCGTAAGGGGATCGCTTAGATTCTGTCAGACTGCGGGTCGGGCCGTGCAAGGACTTCTCCTAAGAACGCGCGCCCGGAACAGAACAGACGAATAGTCGGGCCCGCAAGTATGGCGGGCGGGGTAGATCGAAACCGAAAGGGCCCGTGAACTCGGTCCCTTGCCGTAGTCGGTGGTCGAAGGTTCGAATCGGGTCGTGTCGGGCCCGATGAGTCGATAGCGTCTCCTCGCACGGAGTAAGGTAGTTCTTCAGACGATCTAAGCGATAGAGTACAGGGTACACTATCGCGCATTATATACGCTGGCCCGCAAAGGGGGGTGATCGGACACCCTGGCCTCTCCTCCTCCTCCTCGCTCCCGTTCCTGGCCGCGAGGGGACGATCGCACATCCCTTGCGGGCCAGGCGCTACTCCTGACCTCCTAGCACTCCTCCCCATTCCCCTGGTGTCGAGTTGGGCTCGGCGACGGCTCGACGCGTCGTTCTCGGTCACGTGCTTCCCACGTGTGCGTTCCTCCTACTGGGGCGCATGTTCCCCGTCGTCACGTGCTGCGTGTTGCGGGCCCGCAATGGCCCGACACCAGCGCCCGGAGCGGACGGGCCGGGTCTTATCCGTGACATTTAGCTTGATTATGAACATTACTTGCACTCCTCCTCTGTGCAGAACAACTCTGATAACTCTTCTCTTCTCTTATCCTTCAACCGGACTCCGCTCGTAGACCTTGTCTGCTCCGGCTCCGCTCCGGTCTGGTTGGTCTTGTGTTCATTCATGTCAGGCAGCTACTGGCTTGTTAGCTATACCACAGCGAACTGGGAAGAGAGACGTACTGAGAAGCGAGACACAAGAAATTTGAAGGGCCCGTAGATATCATGATGGAGAGGACACAGAAAGAAAATTAGAGGATTTTACTCAGCACAAGCCGTGAAATAAAGGAATTGGGCATTTTGTCACATTTCAGACTGCTCCAAAGGTTTGGCCCATTGCATGTCAGCCAGTTGATAGTTTGAGCTGAAACTTTTCTAGAACTTGAATAGAGGATGCTAGATGGTATCTAGGCTTTCGTTTGTGCAACAAGTGCAGCATAGTGCATATAAATCTCACTTGTCTTGCTTGTCAGTACATACCTAATATGGTAACTGAAAGTAAGCATTCATATCTAAGGGAATCTTGGACCAAAATATCTCATAATCTACAGATATATCCTTCATCCTAATCTGTGCTGGTTCTCCAGGTCTCAAATGCGGGAAGCTCTGATTGAGCTCATAGTGGCTGTCCCTGCAGAGTGTCTCTCTTCCCAGTTTACTGTAGTAGTGGAAACTCCCCCCTGTTCTGCACAGCACTTGACATCTCATACAGATACAGTATGAGTCATACTGTAGATAACCCTCATTTCACTCTCTCACAACTGGGGAAGTCAGTCTCCAGCAACTCTCCTCTCCTTAAATTTCTATGGAAATTGCACCAGTCTGAATCAGAACCAAAGAGGTTACAACAACACCAGCGAGCAGGGAATTTAAGTATATCGAAACGTTACACGTGATCAGTTCTACGCGGATGTATGGTAAGTGAGAAGAAGAAAACAACTTGTTTAGGTTAGAGCGAGATCAACGGGGCCTGGTCTGCCGACTTCCGCGGCGGTGTCTGCGCTTGCGTCTGTGTTCTGGGCGGCGGGGGAAGCGGCGACGTCCCCCATATCCACTCCTGCACTTTGGCAGGCGCGTTGTCGAGCTGTGCGACGTCAACAACGAATGTTGGTTCCCAGCGACCGTCTTTCAGCCGGAAGAACCGCGGCACGTGCTTGGCGCCGCTCTCCTCGAGCTTCTTCCTGGCCTCGCGCTGCGCGTTCTCGACGTTGCTCTTCGCGTCAGTGGCAGCCTCCATGTCCTTGGCCGCAATTGCACGTGTCAGTGCCGCCCATAGCCGCCGCGACTCATTGGCCTCCTGATCCTCCTCCGCTGCGACTTGCTTTGTCGCGATCTTGCTCCCGTCTTTGACTGCGTCGAACAATACCCGCTTCTTCCCGGTCTGTTGCCAACGAAAGTGTTATTGTAACTTATGAGTAAGTATTATTATGAGATGACCACACACCTTCGCAGTCTTGAACTCCATCGTATGACTCCATCTCCCAGACACATCGCCTACCTCCGCCGCATTATGCCGCACCTTGCCCGCGATCGCGTTGTAAGTCCCGGAGAAGAAGCCCTTGGTCTTGAACTCGATATCCGCGGCCATCTTGGTCGTCTCGTTCCGCGCGGTGCACTGCTCGCCAAGCTCGAGCACCATCTTCCCGAAGAGGATGCCCCGGGCGTACATGTTCGGCATCGTGATCACGTACTCTGTCGCGCGTCAGCAAGGTAAAGAAGGACACTTGTACACACTGCCGGCATTCTGTAGGCTCCCGGTTTCTCGGGAGGCTGCGGGCACCACCAGCTAGTTACACAGGCTACGGGGTGGCTCCCCAACGAAGGCCCTTTGTTAATCCTTTGTTGGGGAGCCTGGTAGCCTGGCAAGGTGGCTTAGGGTGCCCGTAGCCTCCCGGATTTCCGGGAGGCAACAGAATGCTGGCGGTGTGCATGTAAGTAGACGCACCGCCGTCGCCGGTGCCGAGCAGCGTTACGCGGTTCTCGCCCTCCATCGTGGTGGACACGCTGTTCCCGAGGAACTTGCTCTTTGGGCGGAGCTCGCCGACGATGTGGACGCGGTTGGCGGGGGAGAGGTAGAAGAATGCGGAGATGGGCGGGTGGTGCGAGACTGCCACGGATAGAGTCAGAGTCAGTCAAATAGCTTGAGTCAGTACCTTGCTCAGCAACGTAGAACCCCTGGGATCCGTCGGGATAGTCGTAGCGGCAGCGGAAAAACTCGCCGAGGATGGGGTTGTATGGCTTCTTGACGCCCTTTGGCTTCAGATGCCACCCCGCAAGATAATACTGCAAAACGCGAATGAATCGCTCCTCCGGATCGGGGCATGTTTCAGCTCTACCGAATGAGTTGCAGCAGCGGAAAGGGGGTGAAGGACGCACCCAAAGACAAGCTCGGGGTGGGACATGAAGTCGGTAATGCGTTCCAGCATACTGCGCGGCTCCAGCACGAAAGTCGGGAATGTTACCCGGGAGAGGTCCATGCCCACCCTGCCTTGCATCAGCACCCCTCTTCGAGCTGTTACCCGGCCACGCACCTGAGCTGGGAGATGAGGGAAAGGATGATGGACCCCTCGTCCTCATCGCTGCCGTCGTCAGTCCACAGCCTTCTTCTCCACACGAGGCAACGCACAGTATCGATGTGTCATCTGGCTCCGTGTCCTCTGGCGCCTTGTCCTCGTCGGCCCGCGGCTTCGCCGTCCCCCGTAGCGTCGCGCCCGCCTGGCTGAAGAGACCCATCATTGCGGTCTGGAGGAAAGAAGGAGTGCGTCAGAGGAGTTACGAGGTGAGATGATCTGATCCTGCCAAGGCTGTGCTGTGGTCTCATCACTCGTGACGCCACATTTTTTCGAGGAAGAGTCCGAGTGTCTTTTCAGAGAAATTCACTGCCAGAAGGTTGGTCAATCTTACAGTAAGTGCTTGGGCAAATATGTTCTCAGTCGGCACTGGCCATTTTTTCATCTAATTTGTTACAACAACTCTCTGCAACAAAAAACGTCGACATTTACCGACGGAAAACAGAAACTATAAGCAGCCGAATCTGTTTTTTTTATGCCCGTTATAAGCATAAACAGAGAAACCGTGCAAGCTACTGAGAGATAAGAGGTTTGACCCGATCAAGCATCATGATCATGCCGCTAACATCTCACGTCTTCCTTCCACCTCGATGGGCTGAGCGCTGCCCCCGCAAAGTTGAAGATGTCCCGACCACTAATGCTGCTCTCTGTGTACTTCCTGCTGCTCCCGCATGTGCACGCACAATCTTGTGTCCAGTGCGTGTTGGTGCCAACTCTTTCGTGCAGAGACTGACGAGCCTCCTGCAGCGGGTTGTGCGACAAGAAGAGCCACGCCGGATTCTCTATAAAAGCGTTTGCTGGTGTCTTTGCTGCCATCAGTGTGTTGTCCCGTTCCATTTTTCTCGCTCGCCGAAAAACCATACTCATTCATTCATTCAGTGGTCGCGATATTCGTCGCCGTCGTGTTTATGCTCCTTCCACGCTGGCGCCGCCGCCGCCGCTCATCAGAAGAGCCGTATGCCGACCCCCAACAGGCGGGTGGCACCGAAAGATACGACTATGCGGAATACCACCGTCAGCAAGTCGCGGCGATCACGCCAGCGCCACGGCGGCCCGCCCCGACACACCCCGCCAGTGCGACAACGCAGCATGCTCGCAGATATGGGAATCAGGCACCGTTGAGTGCCCTAGATTCGGTTTCGCCGGCGAAACCTAAGCTTGCACCCACCTTTAAATCTCTTGGCAGTACTGGTACATGAAGCCTTTAACAGCTGCGAACTGTTCGGACTTGGATGTGGAGGGTGTTTGGTATGGCGGTGCGATTAGTTCCTCGTGGGACTGGCAGGATGGGCGATGTGGGCCGTAAGCTAGTGAGTGCAACCACTTGGTCTTGGTATGCGATACACACTGGTTAACGATGAAACAGTCTCCGAACTCGGAATTACGTTTGTTGCTGCAGCAATTTAGCCGTTAGCAAAGCCGCGAGTATCGATTCTTGATGTTCTCCGGCTCCCGGTGACGTTTGTTTTCGGAGGACAATCCCAAAAGCTTGAGCACAATCGAGTCAAGTGCACCAACGGTCTTTGACCACTCAACGCTCAAACATAAGGGTCCGACAGCCTGGCAAGAAGTGGCGCTTGTGGAGTCGTTGCCAAGTTTCGACCACCCGTCGCCGGGCCCTCATGAGCTTTCACACTCGCAACACCTATGCATCTCGTTTTTCCTTCCTCCCATGACCATGGGCTTGTTTGTACAGACGGCTCCGGCGTTCCTGGCCGCGTTCTTTGCCGTGGTGCTCCAGGCTGTTGCGGCGGCGCAATCAACTTCCTGCGTCAAGTACGAGAAGCCAACGACTCAGACCTCTTATGCTGACTAACGACTCCTTTTCCCTCAGCGGGGTCTGCGACCACCGACACGACTCCCCTCGAGCCCTCCCGCTGGCGGCGATAATTGGGATCGTTGTCGGCGTCGGTGCGTTCTCCCTCCAAATCCAGACGAGAGCGCCTGGGCTGAACAGGCTGCATCGAACAGTATGCCTCCTCTCCTTCGGCGTGATCGTCTTTGCCGTCGGCCGCGTGCGCCGCCGCTGTGCTGCCAAAGCCGAAGTCGAAGCCGACTCGGACAGGGTTACACACGCCTCTGGTTCGGACGCAGCCTTGATCTACCCCGCGCGCGTATACGGCGGACAGCACGAGTATACTTCACAATGGCAACTGGAGATGACTGATTACAGTCGGCAAAGCGGGGCAGCCAAGATATAATTAATTAATACTTACCTCAAAATGACTGTTGTGTACAATCAAATCACTCGCTTGAAATAGGAGAAAAGCCAATATTTATTCCGAGTCGTTGCTACATATTTCCAGTTTAGTTTTAGCAATACAGTGTGGCCAGACGACCATATTCAAGCAACCGTGATTTTCTTTGGGGTCTGCTCGGAAGAGGTCTTGGGGAACGTGACTGTCAAGACGCCGTTCTCCATGCTCGCCTTGATGTCCTCTTCCTAAAACGACTCGTCAGCCCTGAATTCAGCGACAACGAGCGGAAGCACAAACCTTGACGCCATTGGGCAGCTGCAGCGTGCGCGAAAACCTGCCAAAGCGGCGCTCACGGATCGCGTACCCGTCCCTTTCGTGCTCCTCCGAGATTTTGGATTCGGCGGAGGTGCGGAGGCGGCCGGGGAGCGTGTCGATGTGCACGTCCTCTTTCTTGACGCCTGGCAGCTCGAAGGTTGCGGTTACGGTGTTAGATTCGGTGTTCTCGTGGAGATCCATTCTGGGGAAGGGTAAACCAATGGATTTCGGAGCAAAAAATGGAGACATACTTGGGTCTGAACGCCTGCACAGTCTCGTTCCCCTCAAACTTGAAGGTGGGGAGGCTAAGTTGCTGGGTGGTGTTGCGTGAACGGAAGGCGTCGTCGAAGAGGCGCTCGAAGTGGGCGAAGGGATCGTAGTAGAAGACGGACATTGCGACAGTGGTAGTTGTTTGTGTTCTGGTGGAGGCGAGCGACGACGATGGCTTTTATAGCATACGGAAGGTTTTTCTGGAAGCTTCTGAGACTGGCGAGCACTTTCGTGTCGATTTGAGGGAAGTCGGAGCTTGCAGAACATTCTAGATGGATACACCAGGTACGAGGGAGTTCGTGGAGAGTCTGCAGCTATGAGCAGCCGACACAGTTAGTCCATCAGCAGGGATGGTGTTGACGTTGAAGTTCCAAACTGGACATGAAGAACAGGAAAGAGAAGTGAAAGAGAAGAAAAGACCCCTCAGGCTGTCACGCAGTCACAGAAAATTTTTGAGCACAAATCTGAGTCAATGTCAACAGCGGCACGAAACATGGATATTCATGGATATATGTGATTAATTTAGATGCTAGTTTTCTCCTGTGCTCTGTTTCGACACAATAACCAGCACCCCGATGGTTGCGACATCCAACTTGAAGTTCGGACGGGTTATAATAGGAGAGGTTGCGAGCGTTGCAAGTGACGCTGTCGCAATATTAGTATGATGACTTACAGAACGACATTGGAACACAAACCTGGGCCCAACTCCTTCCTTCCTATTTAACTGCAGAACATCTCTTCACCGACGTTTGAGGCATGAGCGAAGCGGTAACGGCCCTTCCCGCATCACAGCATGGCAACGAGCAATCGGAGGAGGTATTGGTGTACGTTTACGACGAAGCGGGATGTACGAGTTTTCGACCTTCACGTCAAGCGCTAACTGCGACAACAGGGCGGCGAAGGTGGGGAGGTGGGTCATGCATTCATCGCGTTCGGGCATAGCGGGGTAGGTAACGACTCTGGTGTTATAGTAGATGAGGTTGTCGTCGTTGAGACCGCGGTAAGTAGGCATGGCTAAACTTGGGTGGTTTGGGTTTATGCGTGGATGATGGTGGTTTGTGTGAGAAAGGGTGTCGAAGAGGTGGGTGGATTTTATAGCAGAAGAGGTCTGTCTTGCGGATACATTGCGGCTTGTGTCTCAGCATTGCCATGGCACCCCACACTCGCCCCACACCCGCGGAGGTTTAAGACAGGACCCCTATGTCTCATCGTGTGGGATCAGCATCCGATTCGTCGAGGAGATAGCTGATGAGCTCTTGAACCACACGAACATTGACGCTGTTGCCGATCAGGCGATACTTGGTCTTGCGCGAGATCGTTGACGGCCAAACAAACTTGGGCGGAGTATGAAGAGGAGAGAACGCAAAGAGACGGAGTAATTCGTTGGGAGAAAAGTATCTCAATCGAAGTGGATCAAGCATTCGAACGGTTTCGTTGTGGGCAGACTTTTGTGCGAGGAATGCGTCGAATACGGTCGTTGTCTGTAATGAAAATCAGAACGAATCAGGACACCAAAAGAGCCGCATACGTCGAGTTCTTCGTTCAATTGTAATATAGAGCCAGCCCTTTCGACAAGTTGTGTGTAGCCCCGAGTAAAGCAGCACGTCCGCTGAGAAGAGGGGAGGACAATGTCGAATAGCCTTCCCCACTTGAGTAAGACCTTGTCGGGAATGACACACTTCTCATCAATCTCTTCGTCCAAATACTCTCGAATTTCGCCCACATCGGCCCGAGGCTCTGCCTGGCCCCGACCAGGGATGAAGTGCAATGGCCCTGATTTAAGTTGACTCGAGTGGCGAAAAGCGTATGGGGATCGTTTGGCCAGGAGATAGTATCTCAGACGGGAGTTGGGAATGCCGAATTGTAAGGGGGTCAGAAGGAATTCCGCTGTAGTATAGCCCAATTGCTGAAAGGTGGAAACGAGCACCTGACGCGTCGTGGAGGTCTGTAATTCGTCAGGCATGTAGACAGAATGGTGAGGGACTCTCACCTCGAATCCAGCAACGTTTTCCACCAAAAAATGTGTCGGATGAGCGTTCCGGGTGGCCAGTTCCGGAAGAATGTTTCTCACAAGATGCAAGAACGACTGTGCTCGTGGGTCGAGCTCCCCCTTTGCTTGTGGGTTGAGGACAGTATACGGTTGGCATGCGGGAGAAAGAAGCCATAAAAAGGCATTCAGCGACGCAAGGTAGTCGGCAGTCATAATCGATATGTCAGTCTGTATCGATTCTAATGAGCCCAAGGCATGATTCCATAGAATCACCCACCTTGCAGGCGATCCCAGGCCCGAAGTTTGCTGAGTACACCTCGCAAGCAGTCCTATCCCAATCGAATGCATGAACAACATTCGCGTCAACTTTGCTCCGCTCCAGCGCTAGGTGAAGTCCACCTAAGAGGATTGAGCGTCTATTCTGGGAAGAAGAAGATATATCCGACCTATTCCACTGTAAAATTCGAGTGCTCTCATGAGAACATGGTGGTATCAGTCTAAGTTTGTCGGCAACGTGACATCAATATTTCTTTTGCTCTTCCCCCACGATGGTCTCCGATGCTGACCATCTACGCGTCGCAATTGTGAGACTCCTACTCGTTGTGGAGTAATAATACTGACATCTCCCAGGCTCTCGCCGCCTTGAAATACAAACGAAAGACGTGTCTTGCGCGCCGTGTTACTGTAATGGGCCACCGACAAGCTGCCTCGGTTTCTAACTTGGGCCATAGCTTACATTCCGCGACTGCGAACAGTCTTCCCGGCGTCCCAAAATGCTCCTCGGGACATCGAATGGGTCGTGGAGAACACATGCCTTGCCGTTGGCGAAAGAGATGGTCGACTTGAAATAGAGGTAGACGCGGACAGAATCAGTGAGTAGATTGGAAGCTTGCTCAATCCTTTTCAGGCTGTTATACTGTCTCAAAATCCTCTTTAACAGAGCTACCAAGCAGCAACCCGTCAAACCACTAGCAAGAAAAAAGCCGAAAAAGAAATCTTGCGACCAGACAAATTCACCGCGGCCGAAGCTTGAAAGCATTCGTGAGAGCGTTCTCTTGCTATAATAACTAGGATACGTTTATTACGGTTTCAGAGGCAGAAGTGGCTACAATACCGGGTTCAGCATCGTTGTTGTCAAGATTATCCTCGTTCCAGCAGCTGACCACTTCTTTGAATATCGACGGAACTACTCCGGCTCAACGATCTCTGCTTCTCCGTACGACCCAACTTGTCCTGTCCGGCATAGTCAGCTTCCTCCAGCCGATTCTTACAAGCACAACTTTCACTGTCGCCTCCCAATCCACAACGCTTCATCGTTTCGCTGCTCAAATGTTGTCGATGACCCTTCCTATTCTCATCAGTAAACTGACGACCTTCTCCACTCTGATGAATAAGTTGCTTGACTCTTTGATATCGTCAATATTTACACCAATACTCCAATCTTTCATCCCACTATGGGATCGTTTTCTGTCCTACCTCTTCCCCTTGACGCCAGCCGAATCCATTCCCGCAGACCTCTGTCCTTCCGTACTCCAATTGTTCCAAAGCTCTTTCACATCACATCTTTCGATACCATCTGCATTCTAGACACGATATTTTCCAGTCTCTCTGAATTTACGCTTGAACTTGTGCCGCGAGGGCCGCCTTCTTCGCCTTTGACGCCGCTGCTAGCTCCTCGATTTTTGCCTTGATGTCTCGCCATTTCTCAAGAAGCTCCGCGCGATGCCACTTATTCTTATCGGGCCATCCGCACTCGCGGTACAGCCGCATCAGCACATGCCTCTCTCGGAGCCCCTGCCGTCGCTGTCAGCCGCTGACCACCACTGAGCAGCACAGAAGCACTCACCTGTGTAGAGCGGAGCTCATACGACGTGAAGCTCCACTCAGGACGCGTGAGCGGGAGGCACGCGAGTGACCTGTACGCGAAGATGAGTTCGGCAAAGTAGCGCGCGGCGGGGACGCCTGGGACGCGCTGTGGCGGGACGATCGGGCCGGATTGAGGGACCGGGCCGTGCCGGAGCCACTCGGCGGTGTTGTCCGAAGCGACTGCGAGGCCCGGGCCGTGCGCGCGCACGAGCCCGACGCGGGTGTCGAGAAGAATCGTCCAGCCACGGGGATCGACGCCGGGAACTGTCAGCGGGAGCAGCCACGAGTCGAAGGGTGGCTCTGGATCCTCTGGATCATCTGTTGACGGTGGCTGTCTTCCGGCGCGCATATCGGCCTCGTCGGTGTAGTTGGCAAAGGCGGTGTTGGTTAGGAGGTACTTTTTTGAGTCTCGCGCGACGGTCACGCGGACATACGGCAGCTTCTCCATCAACGCGATGACCCCTGCGTCGTACCCGAGGTCTCTGGCGAGCTGTGTGTCCACCGGTTGGGAATGCGGGGCATATTGGATGTCCTCCGGCTCCCAGTGCCCCATCTCCACAATCAGCTGGTAGAATTCTGCGATGAGTGCCACCACTTCGTCAGGGTCATACACCTCCGCTGCCTTCTTCTCAACCTCTTCCAGATACGCGACGCGACGCGGTAAATCGTCGCGTTCCTCCTCGGAGAGCGGGATTATCGGCCAGTACTCCGAATGCAGGTCAACATATGCCTTGAACGCTGCCTCGTCCGCCACCGCCTCCGTCAGCGCACGTGCCTCCGCCTCATAATCGCTGTCATCGCTGTCTCCGGGGGGGATGACGTCGCGCCCGCGCGGAAATGTGGCCTCGTCGTCGGGCTCATCGGGGAGGTCTTCGTCCAGCCATGACTCGGGCCGCGGCGCGAACGGCTCGTCCTGTTCAACGACGCTGGGGTACGCCCATGGCCAGGGGTAATACTTCCGCCGCCCGTGCATCGTGGTTCGTGGTCAAGGGGTTTGTGTGCCCCACACGTGGGCGTCACAATTAAGTAAGTACGGCAATGATCAATGGTTAGTAAGCTCCACGTGCAAGTTCTGATGCCTGGAGGCCTGAGGCATTATCCATTCAAAACCCATGTCTGTGCAGTTGCGCTATACTACTACTACTCATCCCGATTGACATGCCAGAATTACGCATATCGACGCCGCATGCGCTTGGCGATCCCCGACATCAGATGAAAGTCCCCATGTTCGGCGCGCCAGCTCTCGAGGAACTCTGCACGGCGCCACTTGTCCTTATCCGGCCAGCCATACTGGCGATACAGCCGCATTAGCAGACGCCGCTCGCCCAGCTGCCGCGCCCCGCTGTCACGGACGCGGATGGACGTGTCACTCCACTCGGGGCGGATGATGGGCAGACGCGCAAGCGAGCGGTAGGCATAGATGAGCTCGGCGAAGTAGCGCGCGGCGGGTACGAGCGCGAGGCGCCGCGTGGGGAACTGCGACGTGTCGGCCGCGCCGGGCGGGCCGTGCCGGAGCCACTCGGCGTCCCGGTCCGGGCGGCGGAGGGCCGCCGTCAGCGTGCGCACGGCGCCGGCCCGCGTGTCGAGGAGCACGCTGTACCCGCGCGTGGATGCGGGTATGCGCAGCGTTAGCGGGACCAGCCAGCCATCGAGCCCCGCGCTGGCATGCAGGTCCGCCGCGTCGGTGTAGTTCGCGAAGCACGTGTCCGGGAGGAGCCGCCGGCGCGGGTCGCGCGTGACCGCGACGCGGATGTACGGCAGCTTCTCCATCAGCGTGATGGCGCCGGCATCGTACCCGAGCTCTGCGGCGAGCTGCGTGTCGAGGGTGTGTGGTGGGTGCTGGATGTCTTCTGGCTCCCAGTGGCCCATGTCCGCCATCAGCTCATAGAACTGCGTGACCATCCGCGCCACCGCATCGGGGTCGTATTCCGCCGCCGCCCTTTTTTCCACCTCTTCCAGATATGTGATCTTGCGGGGCAGGTCGTCGCGCTCCTCCTCAACAAGGAGCTCGTCCGGGTACATCTCGGGGAGCAGGCTGCGGTACGCCTCGAACGCCGCGTGATCCGCCAGCGTCGCTGCCACGTCCACCGCCAGCTCACGTGCTTCTTCCTCATCGTCGTCTCCCGAGTCGCTGTCGTCACGGGGCGGGACGTTGCGCGCCGTCTTGTCCGCTGCGTCGTCCTCCTGCTCCAGGTCCTCGTCGAGCCACGACACGGGCCGCGGCACAAACGGCGCGTCTTGCTGGAGGACGCTCGGATGGGCCCACGGCCATGGGTGAAACTTTCGCTGCCCAACCATCGTGGTTTGTGGCCAAGAAGTGCACAACATGTGTCGCTCAGGTTTGTGTGCCCAGCACATGTAGTCGGTTACTTAATTTCGCTCAGTCTGAATCCAACGCATGCCATCAATCTAGTCAAACACTTCTGACGGTGCAAATGTAGTATGCAACAACTTGAAGCTCTACGGCTTTGATCTATGTAGAACGTGAACTACTTAGTTATTATCGGGGGCAGGCTGGACTACGCAAAATGCACACGCATGGCCGCCATGTACTCCGCGTCGTCACGCGCGCCGTAGCGGGCCGCGAGGAACCCGCGGGCGTCGTGCCCGACGAGGTACCGCAGCCGATCGCTGCCGTCCGTCGCCGCGGCGTAGATCGTGTCGGCGACATCGGCCGATGAGATCATAGGGCCGGCTTGCATCTTGGCGAAGCTGCCACAGGTTAGCTGTGGACTCGGGAAATAGTCCAGGGTTAAGGGCCGCACCTCTCCCGGGTCTTCTGCACGATATCGGCATACACTTTTGCCACAGCCGGCTCCTGTGCGCCGGCCCCGGCGACGAAGCGCGCGCCGAACTGCGTCGCGGTCACGCCGCCGTGCGGGATCACCGACTTGACGCGCACGTGCTGCGACGCGAGCTCGTAGGAGAGCGCCTCGGTGAAGCCCTCCAGCGCGAACTTGCTTGCGCTGTAGAGGGATGTCATCGGCAGGCCCCAGAGACCTGCGCCCGAGGACACGTTTACCACCGCCCCGCCCGCGGGATTGGCGCGCAGGTGCGAGAGGAGCGCGCGCGTGACGTCCATCACGCCTGTCGGCCTCAGTAAGCAGATAGAACTTGAGAGAAGGAATGGCGCACCGAAGACGTTGACGTCAAACTGCTTTTGCGCGCTTTCCCGAGGGAGCGCCTCGAACAGCCCGGCCTGGCCGTACCCAGCGTTGTTCACAAGCACGTCCACTCGTCCGAACGCGCTGATCGCCGCGGCGATGGCGGTGCCGATGGACGCGAAATCCGTGACGTCAAGCGGCAGGACAAGCAGCCGGTGGCGCAAGTCGGGAGTGTTGAGGGCGGGCAGCTCGGAGGCCTGAGGCTCGCGCATCGTCGCGACAACGTTCCACCCGCGTGCAAAAAAGAGCTGGGCGGCGGCGAGACCAATCCCGGAGGAGCACCCCGTGATAAACACCGTCTTGGGCTCTGCGTTAGCGTCCATTTTCAAGTTCTTCGACTGAGCGAGTTGGATGCGAATGTTGCCTTTTTATATCTGGCGCCTGCCGAGCCGCGCATGCTGGGGCCTTCCGAGTCGGATGGCTTCCGAGAGCGAGTAGTAAGTGCCTACACGTAGGGCACATCGCTATAGATAGATTTCGACGCCCACCTGCCGCGAGGCTCCGCGACAATTACCTTGAGCGCCGTTCTGTCAGTAAGTAAGTGGGTCCCACACACACTAGTAGTTTCCTTATTCTGACATACAGTTTTCATCAATGGATCAATATAGCTGGAAACTCCACATGAGAGCAGACCATAACACACAGTACTAGAGGCAATAATACCTAGTACCATTTAATCGAACACGATCTTCGTTGGTGCGGCCGGCATCGGTATATCGTCCCTGAAAAACGCGCCATACGCGCTGTGCTCCTTCTTCTTGATCGTCATCGGGAACTTCTTCAGGCCCTCGCACTCGAACCCGCTCTCCCTCAGCACCCGCGCGAGCTCCCCCGCCAGCGCCCGCTCATGGTTCTCCCCCGTGAAGAACGTGATCGACTTGCCCGTTTTGCCCCCGCGGCCCGTCCGCCCGATCCGGTGGATGTAGTCCTCGATCGTCAGCGGGAACGTGTAGTTGATCACCGCCGCAACATCGGGTATATCCAGCCCCCGCGCAGCAACATCGGTCGCGACAAGCAGGCCCGTGGTCCCAGTCTTGAATTTTTCTAATGCGTCCAGTCGCGCAGTTTGCGACATGTCCCCGTGCAGCGCGCCGACGCTGTAGCCTTCTTGTCTGAGCCGATTTTCTACCCGTGAGGCTTCCTTTTTGTACAGCGCGAACACGAGCACACGCGCATCAGTTCGTCCCGCGCCTTTTTTGTGGCCAAGTTGGCGGAGGTGGTTTAGTAGACGGGAACTGTTAATAATGGTCAGCACTATCATCGTCTTAGGTATAACTGCTGAACAGCTCTCCCCGATTGAGGCAGGAACAAGTGAAAAAGTCCACTGTCCAAGGAGGGTTTCAAAAATAAAAGAGCTTCCGTAACCCCGAACTCGAGCGCTGGGTCAGCGCGTAGCAAACCTGAACAGCTCCGGTTCGCGGCAGGTTTTGCCCGTGTGGCCCCAAGTGAAAATCTCAGTCGTAACAAAATTCTCTCTTTAACCCAAGCGTCTCATTGCGCTTTCCGGTGCTCGGGCTCCGGGATTTCAACCCTAGCTAACGCGCCCGAATAAGCGGGCCGACCAGCCGGACTTTTGTGTCGTTGGCAGCCGCTGCGTATTGCGACACGCCGTTGGCCGTGCACCGGCGAGAAATCCACCCAGTCAACGGGCAAAACTTGGGTACCGGCGCCGGCCGAGACGGCCTGGACCGCGGGTTAAGCCCTCCCTTTGAGAGGGAAAACCCCAACCCTGGGCCGGGTGTCCAAGAAAAAGGGGGAAAATAGAAGGAAAGAAAGACCGAGAAAGGGGATAGAAAAGAAAAGAAAGAAGAAGAAGAAGAAAAAGAGAGACTCACTCCTTCGACCGCGCGTCATCAAACACCTCGACCGACTGCGCCACACGACTATTCGCAGTAAGATCGTCGCTGCCAACCGTGACTCGCACGGGGTCGCGCTGGAACGACGCCGCGAGCCGGCGGACAGCATCGGGCCATGTTGCACTGACTAACCGTCACATTAGTGAATTGTAAAAGGAAAGAAGAAACTACACGCACACATCATGGTCTGCCGCTCGCTCCCCTGCCGCGTCCTCTCAATGATATTCCGAATGTCGTTCTCGAAGCCCTTGTCAAGCATCCGGTCCGCCTCGTCCAGAACCAGATAATTTACTCCGCTCAAATCGCACACGCCCTCCTGCACCAAGTCCAGTATGCGGCCCGGCGTGCCGACAATAACTCGAGTTGTCGTCGCTGCTTTATGCAGGTTTCGAAGCTGTTTTATCTGGCCCTCCTTGGGCACCCCGCCAAAGACAGCGACGCTCCCAATGCCGAGCGGGGCTCCGAGAGCAGCGAGTGTTTCTTGTGTTTGCAAGGCAAGCTCGCGGGTGGGGGCAACGACGAGCACGCTAACTGTACTCGTGCCCCCGGTTTTGGGTGGGGGAGGGGAGGAGAGAAGACGGGCAAGCGCAGGGATGCCGAATGCAAGTGTTTTGCCGCTAGTAGACATTAGACTTGGTAAAAAGCAAGATAAAATCACATACCTCCCCGTCTCAGCAATCCCCACCACATCCCTCCCTAGCAGCGCGTGAGGCCACGCGCACGCCTGGATCGGCGTCGGCTCCTTAAAGCCTTCAAATGATGTTCGAAGCGCATCGGGGATGGCCAGTTGTGGGAATGCAGTAACCGGCGGGAGAGCCGTGTGGACTGGGGGCGTGGTTATAGTTATCGAGTGCTTTTTGAGAAAGGCGGCGGCGGCCTCGGAAGTAGGTGGTGGTGCTGCAGAGGTGGAAGACGAGGCTTGGGCTTTTTCGGGTTGGTTGGCGACAGTTTTGTGCTTCTTGTCCTTTTTCTTCTTCTCTTTCTTGCCTGAGTCTGTGAATCATCAGAAGGGAAGATCGGTATAAGCAAACGTACCAGCGTCCAGTTTTACTGTAGGAAGGGCGGGCTCTATTCTAAGTGAGCACACTTTCGGGAAATGCAGCACAACTCACCTAGAGTTTCTTCTTTGTTCGCCTCCTTCTCTTCCTTTTCCTTGCGTTTCCTCTCCTTCTTCTCCTTTTTCCGTCTCTTCCACTCAGCCTCAGATTCAGCATCGTTCGTCCCGTCCACCTCCATCGGCACATCCGCTTGCTCCTCCTTTTCCTCCTTATCTTTCCGCTTCTTCTTCTTTTTTCGCTCGCTGTCTGCCCAAGTTCAGCACCTTGCAAATATAGCCCAAAGCAAAATGACATACCGTCGCCCTCCTCCGCGCGCCGCTTCTTGCTCTTGCCCTCGTCAGCGCTAACCTCGACGGGCTGCATATCCGCCACGGCCTTGTCCTTGTCCTTCGCCTTCTTGGCCTTCTTCGCGGCAGGGGCGGCGTCGACGGTCATCTTTGTCGCGCGAGGATGATCGCAAGAGGCAAGGGAGAAAATTTTCCGGGAGGCTGATCGCCGGATTCGTCGGCCTTTCTAGATGTGACATCCTTTTCTTCGACTCGAACTTCATGTACGTCTTCAAAAGTCTAGAGGAAGTCTTGGGCTGGCGCTCAGAAGCTACAACGGCAAGCGCACGCTGCTCTCCAGCACTACATAAGTAACTGCACTTCAAGTTCTCAGCAGGAATCGCGGCATTGTCACAACTCCGCCTCGCGAGCGTCTGCAGCTGCCAAAGCCGAAGCAGTACGCATTCCGACAATGACCACTGGAGATTTTTCAGCCCGCCCTGCTCGTCCTCGACCCGATTTGGATTCGATAGCCTGAGACCACCGCCAACTTGAACTCATCGACTTCTTAAACCTCAGTGGCACATGTGCGACGGGTGAGTCGACACTCTCGTCTTGTGTTTGCCCTCGTACTTGTGCTAGTCTCACTCGAGCTCACTGGCTGGCCGTGCGGATTGTGCCACGCATCTCCATCGTGCTTCTCGCAACCTTTGCTAGCAGCATTACTAGTACGACCCACCAAATATAGTACTTACCTTTGGCTCGGCCCCACTGGTGTGTTCAAGTTTGGTGGATCATCATCAACGTATATTTGCTTGAAACCAAGCTTCAAAAATCACACAAGTTCGTAAATGCTAGCCTCTACTGCGGCGCGTGTGTTGACTTCGTAAGAATTGTGTCCTCGGTGCCAATGTGCCCGCTAGGCTTGGTTCGCCACGACACCCGATGAACTCCGTTCAAGGGAAACTGCAAGTTGAGCTCAATGTCGACCAATCCCGACTGTGAACCATTCAGCTTTCAAGTTTAACACTGCCAGTCAAAATTGCGTACCCGACCAAAAATCTCCGGCATCTTTGGATCCGTCGAGAGTTGTGAAAGTGGCTGGATAGCACAGATCCCATAACCCTCTTTCAATTTGTAACGGAATTTCCGGATGACAAGTCTCCGAAACTGAAAAGGTGGACCTTCATCGCCTAAGTTGAGTAACACTCGCTTTGACTTCAAGTCAAAAAGTCTCTCAGCGTGTAGATCAATTATCCACATATTTGTTTCAGAGTCGACTTCCATTAGGGCCTTGGCATCTTTGTATACCAGATGGAAAAAGTCATCTTCAAGATAAGTCCAGGGGGAGCCTGGGTAGACATGTCAGAAACATAGTTCTTTGGGACCTTTGTGGTTCAATAAAGTGTAGACGGACCAGAATCAAATGCAATTCCATTCTCGGGATGCTTAGCACGGTATTCCTCGTTGCCCACCTTTTTAACACGACTTGCAACACTCCAAAATTTAGGATGAATCGGTGGAATATGAAGGTGCCATTGCCCAAAGCCGGGATCTTCTGGCCCCGGGCTAAACCATCCGACTCGTGGCCCAAATATAATTGATCCAGCACTGTTAAGATGGTGAGTATGAAATCCAAGAAGCAGGGGACATTTTGTACCACTTCCATGTGTCACTGTAGTATTGGGCAAGATAAAATGTCATTTCAGGACTGCTCTGTTACTAATGGTCAGCTCATGGGTCCTATATTGCAGAAGGAAGGCTGTAATGACCAGATATTTCTCAAGTTGACCAAGAAATGACTGCCAGATCTTAAGATCAGACTATCTTTTCTAATATAAAATGATCTACTTGCCTCTCCTTCCTGGCTGTCATAGACCAAACTAGTTGAGGATTGAATTCAAGATAAAGTGGCATATAATTTTTTTCAGCTCACCGACGACCTAATGGCAGGATGCCTGCAGCAGGAAGTTGCTGCAGGAAACCCGGAGAAATGTCATGTGCCAGGCCAAAAATGATCGGAATAATTTCCCGTTTCTGGGAGCTCCACAATTGGATCCTCCACTATAGTAGAAATTTATCAGTTTTTTAGATCACTGTCATTGCAAAATCACACGTACCAGCTGGTCCATAAATTTCATTATCACTAAGTTGGACACCAGCAACTCCTTCTGCTCTTTCCCTGTTCATGGGTATACGGGCTCTCGCTGGCACCTCAGGACCATAGACCGGGACAGTTCCGGAATAAGTGGGTGGGATGTCCAAGTAGCCTACTACTTCCTGAAGGTCTGGGTGACTCGGCGCCTTAGTATATTGATCTCTCGTTGGCGGATTGGAACTTGTTGGCTGATCAGAATGTCGGTAAACAGTAATGTTGGCTTCGTGTCCTGGGGTTGGAGGTGGTGTGCTGACTGTAGACTCATTTTGACTGGTTACAGACTGGAGCTCCCAGTCACTGGCAGGCCAATCCGCCTCCGACATAGGCTCCGGCCCGGGTGACTGTAGTACTCCATGATCAGATTCTTCAATTCTCTTTGATTTCGAGTTTTCCGCCGCTTCCAAGTTATGACTCAGGCCGAGGGTGTCAGCCTGAGTGTAGATGGCCAAAAGGCGGTTACAGACATTCGTCATCTTGAGGTACCGAGTTCACACATGAAGAAGAGGGGGAGAAGACTTTTAGACTCACCTCCTCTTTCAAGCTGGAATATCCGGGCTCAAATTGGAAGTCGATAGAGCATCCATCAATGTTGGGTACATGCTTTACACCAGATTCAGGAAGGTCTGATTGAACAGTCGTGGCGGACATCTCGTTGAGTGCTTGAGGGGATGAGGGAATATGGTGTCGAGAGGTCGGTCTTTTATACGCCCAGCGAAAAGAGTTTGAGTCAGCTCAAGACAACAAAATGACTGTGAACTCTCACACGTGTACACAATGGAGTTATTATGCGCACTGCCTCAATTGAATCCCGAATGTTCGAGACTGAGAGAAATGACTCGGTCGCTGCCGGTGCTTATGATGATCAGCCTGAGATTGGTTGAGTTGCGCGGCGCTGGGAGCAGGTGACGCGCGCGAGATTCGCACACGCCTGGAATCGGGCCCCACAGCCTGCCCATAGTCACCGCAATCGGGCATGCGCCATTTTGGCTGGCAAGCGCCGGGCCGGGGCGGTGTTTCCTGATCGGGTTGACAGGCCGGACCGAGCTCCGACCCGAGCTCCGTTCCGCTTCAAGCGACTAGTAACCAAGAGGAGGCCTTGGGGGCCTTTGGGACGCGTCCAGGACGCGTCTGAGTTGGGACGACGCCAGAGGGCGTCCGGGGTATGAAGTACCGGCATAGCCACGTCGAGACGCGTCCAGAACACCGCCAACCGCTGGTGGACCAAGCGGCCCAAGCTCGTAAGCGAGATTGTGTAAGCAGGAGGGCGATATGGGTTAGAGGGTCGCGCTGTACGCGCTGTGTGCGCTGCGGGCACAGGCCAGACACCAGCTTGCGCAGGCTGGAGGGCAGTGAGGAGGCTGTAGCCTCAGCAGTATATATTTGCAGCGTTGGTAGCCTTTAGAGGAGAGAATACGAGTGCCCGGCTCTGCGCGGGTTTATTTTGGTTATCGCCGTTGTTATCTTTTGTCGCCGTTATCGCCGTTTCCGTTATTACCGTTTGTGTTGAAGAAGTGCTGTCAGTTCGCCCCGTTGTTCCGAGTGCCCGCCCGCCGTCCTGCCTTCCCGCCCACTGTTGATCTTGGTCCCGCCCGTTGTTTTCGCTTACCTAATCACCCCAACCTTATTGTTCCGAGCCGTTAAACGTGTTTTTTCTGGATTGCAGCAGCTATATACTTTAGCTGGAACCCCCGTACTTGCGCGCATCAGTTAACTATCCCACCCATTTCAAACTCCGACGTGATCCGCTTCTGATCCGGTCTGATCCGAGTGATCCGAGTGATCCGAGACTCGGCCCGCGTACTTTGGTGTTAGGCTCCCTGGTTTTGTGTTCTGTTGTGTTTTGTGTGCTGATTTAGTCTGTTGTGTTGGAGTTTGTTTGTGTTGGTGTTTTTTGTTTTCTTGCGTTTCATCTGGAGCCCACCGCGAGGGGGTTCATCTAGATCAAACACCTTTCGTTTCGTTTTCCCACGCTTTCCTGGACCGTTTAGGAAGGCAACAACCACGTGACTTGTCAACATAGGGTCACAACTTTTCCCAATCTTTGAGGAAAATCCAGAATATTCCTATTCCCCTTCACCATCCCCATCTTCATCTGAATTCTCTGTTCCTGAACAACCTCACATCTCTGAGGAAGAACTTGAAGCAGGAGATTTAGACTATCATTCAGACGACTCGTTCCTATTTGATTTCTCTTTTCGACTTCGTCCAGTAACCCCTGAATCTTTTAAACCAACTTCAACTCCAAAGAAGTCTCAGCAGAAAATGGCCAACCCACCTCCTAATCCAACTGTCTCTGCTTTCAAAGTACCAAGACCTTGGGAGACCAATGCTCCTAAGTTCACTTCTGACAGCAAGGAAGAATTATTGGACTTCATTGACCATGTGGAACAAATCTTTGATCTGGCCAAGATCACAGATGATGCTGAGAAGAAGAAATTGTTGACAGGTTTTCTGGGAGCAAAGAAGAGAGTAGTGTGGAGAGAACTGCCAGAGTATGATGATGTTCAGAAGACCTATGAACAATTCAGAAAGGCAGTCATGAAAGTTTATCCAGAGGCAGATGAACATGAGATTGGTACCTTGGAGGAACTGGAGGATATTTGTGAGGAGTATCAAGGTATTAAGCATACTGAGGAGGGTAGACTTACCAGATTTGGCATGAAGTTCAAGGCTATGGTCATCAAGTTGTCCAAGCCTCCTACCATTATTCTGAACAAGGAAGCCTGTGCCAAATATTTGGCAACATTAGAGAGAGGTTTTGCCCAGTCTCTTAGGTTGGCCATGAATACTAGGAACCTCTTGAAGGAAGAAACCACTGCTGCTGCAGCACAAGGAGCTGCTGCTGCTGCTAGACCAAGTGATAGAAGAGAAGACCCAATCAAGTTGGAGGACCTGATTACTATGGCAGAGAAATTCTCTAGATCTGGAGGGAGAGACACAACTTTCACTACAGATGCCCCAGAGATTAGAAGGTCTGAAAGGTTCCCAAGGGTCAAGCTTGAAGAGAGAGATGTCAGACTAGATGATTTGGAAGG